ACCTAGTTCGTTAATGAAATGTCTGCCAGAAAACAACCAACTTCCAGGAATATCAAGCATCCCACAAACCTTTTCTCCTCCTTCTCCCCGTCTCTTGATTGGGATATTGTTGATCAGATGGTTGGTCTGATGTTAACCTTGAAATTAACATCCCTCGTTGCTAGCACTGATGATGTGACCTAGTTTGGGTCATGAAATGTCTGCAAGAAAACAAGTAGGCTCAGAAGCACCACGGCCCCCCCCCCCCCCCCCTCCCCCTCCCCCTCCTCCCCCCCCTCCTCCTCCTTCCTCCTCCTTCCTCCTCCTCCTCCTTTCCACCAATCTCACTCTCTTCTAGCACTGATGGTATTAACCTAGTTTGGGTCATGAAACGTCTGCAAGAAAAAAAAAGCAAACTCGGAGAGCCCCGAGGACCCTGAGCTACGAATAATTCTCTTTTATTTGTAAAATTATTCGGTCTCGTGATTCATGTCCTGCAGAGCGGAAGGTTTCTTTGGCAGATTTCTGCCTTCTGCAAGGCCCGAGGCTTTTCCGAAAGGGCCAGCCCTGCTTAGGAAATCCACTTTGCGTGTTGCTGCTTTGCAAAACCTTTGGGGCCCAGGGGTGAGTCCTTTCCCCAGGCGGCCTTCCTTTCACGGCTGCCCCCAGGGGGTCTGCAAGAGGGGACTCCAAAAAGTTCAGGTGGACTTTTTTGACCCTCTGTGGGCCTACCTGGGAAGGCAGGGTGCCTTCCCTTTTATGTTTCTCCTTACAGGTAGCCCTCGACTTACAACAGTTCTCACTTAGTGACCGTTCGAAGTGACAACGGCCCTGAAAAAACCAGACATGACCACTTTTCACACTTAACGACCGTTTGCAGCATTCCTCAGGGTCACGTGATCAAAATTCAGAGGCTTGGCAACTGGCATGTACTTATGACGGTTGCAGCATCCCTGAGTCACATGATCCCCTTTTACGACCTTCTGACCTGCAGAAATCAAGAGGGAAGCCAGGTTCACTTAACAACCAGGTTACTAACTGAACAACGGCCAGTGATTCACGGAACAGCAGTGACCAGAAAAGTCCTAAAATGGGGCAAAGCTGGCTTAAATGTCTCACTTTGCAACTGAACATTTGGGCTCAGTTCTGGTCCGTAAGTCAAAGACTACCTGTTCCACGCAATTGCAGTATGCACAGATCTCTATTGATTGAAAAAAATGAGAAGGAGAGGTAGTCTTTAACTTATAACGGTAATGGAGCCGTCCCATTACAGAAGGAAGTTGTGACTGCCGTAAAATGGGTCATCCACAGGGAGCTCTGGTCGTAAATCGAGGATTACCTGTAACTGAAATACAAGTAACCATCTTTCTTTCTTTTTTCCCTCCAGGATCCTGATATTACCATTACGGACAATGTGCTCCATTTTAAAGGTAAACCAATTTCCCCTATTCATCAGGTGCTGAGACAGGGCGTGGCACAAAGGCGACACAGTCAGATAATCAATAAGAGCCCCTTTATTAGCTCCAACTTTGCCCCCAATGCCCTGGTTACCTTCTGGCTGGAGAAAAGCTCTCCCAGGAACAGCCTTGGGCTGCAGAGAATCAAGTCCAAAACATGGTCAACAAAAACTGTAACTTTAAGTCCAATCAAGGCAAAACGAGGTAATTAGAACAGCGAGGCAAGAGAAAGAACAATAGTAATTCAACACAGTTGGAAGGATGCCAGGAACGCAAATAACCAAAGTAAACTCACAAGGTAAACTCATATTTGCTTGCTGCACGCAGTAACTCGTTTGGATGTTGGATTTTAGAACAGGAGCTCACGTTCATCTAGGACTGTTATGTAAATGTTTTATTAGCTGTGGGGGAAAAAAGTGCCTTTGAGTTCATTTGCAAAACCTACGCTCCCGCATTTCGCAAAGCCTCGTGCCGTCGGAGGAAGGCTTTTGAAGTAATTTGAAACCTGAAATGCCGTGGCAGAGGTCTCCAAACTTGGCAACTTTGAGACTTGTGGACTTCAACTCCCAGAATTCCTCAGCCAGCTGGGGAATTCTGGGAGTTGAAGTCCACAAGTCTCAAAAGTTGCCAAGTTTGGAGATCCCTGTGTTAGGGGGTCTCCTGCTTGACCAGATGGATGGACTAGAATAGGGGTCTCCAACCTTGACAACTTTAAGCCTTGGCGGACTTCAACTCCCAGAATTCCCCAGCCAGCAACTTTAAGCCTTGGCGGATTTCAACTCCCAGAATTCCCCAGCCAGCAACTTTAAGCCTTGGCGGACTTCAACTCCCAGAATTCCCCAGCCAGCAACTTTAAGCCTTGGCGGATTTCAACTCCTAGAATTCCGGCTGGGGAATTCTGGGAGTTGAAGTCCGCCAAGGCTTAAAGTTGCCAAGGCTGGAAACCCCTAGAATAGAAGACCTGTAAGATCCTTTCCATTTCTATTCTGATTGATTGTTTCTCTCTTGTGTCTATATTCATGCAAGGGCTCAAGCCTGAATGGTTAATGATTATTTCCCTAAACAATCTCAACATTTATGCTTATTTCTCCGAGTTTCTCCTTTTCTCGGTGCTGCTGTTCCTCCACCCCCTTTTCAAGAGAAATGTGACATTTTGACGTTGAATTTCCTTAGAAACAGCTAGTGCTTCATCAGAGAAGGATCCGGTTTGCTAGAGTTATACAATTGGTTTTTTTTTCTAGAATTGGTAAAAATAGGATGTGTATTTTTGGTTTTCTAGCTCACGGCCATGGAGCTAAAGGGGATAATATTTACACATTCCAGATTGAGTTCCTGGAACCAGTCAACCCTAAGGTAAGAGTTGATTACTTGCTGTCTAATAAAAATATATATATTGGTGTGTTAAAAGGTTCCCAGGCTTTTATTTAGTTAAGAGCACAGTTAAATACATAGAGTAATGTATTACTCTATGTATTTAATCATAGAATAACAGAGTTGGAAGGGACCTTAGAGGTCATCTAGTCCAACCCTCTACAGGAGAGTCTATGCCATATATTAGCCTCTACCTAGGATCGAACTCATAGCCTCCTGATTGTGAGGCAAGAGCTCCACCTCTAGGCCACCAGAGCTGCATGTAAATGCAAAATTAAATGTAAAATGTACAATTAAATAAATCCAATCACTTGTCAACTGTACAGGTAGTCCTCGACTTACGACCACAAATGAGCCCAAAACTTCTGTTGTTAAGTGAGAAATTTGTTGAGTTTTGCTCCATTTTACAACTTTCCTTGCCACATTTGTTAAATGAACCACTGCAGTTGTTAAATCTCTCTCTATAAAAACGAAAGTCCACTCATGCATCATCAAAAAAATCTCCAGAACCATAAAGCCTACAAACTTGAAATTTGGCCTCTTGGCTTCTTAGGTGCTCACTAAGAAAGGGTTTTTCGAAATGACCATCAGAGCACTAGTATTTCCTATATTATTATTATTATTAACACGCTCTGATGCTAAGGAGCATTAGTACCAGAGCATTAGTATTCCCTATATTATTATTAACACGCTCTGATGCTAAGGAGCATTAGTACCAGAGCATTAGTATTTCCTATATTATTATTAACACGCTCTGATGCTAAGGAGTTCAAGGTCGCAAAAGGGGATCACGAGATCCCGGGACAATGTGCGACCGTCATGAATGTGAGTCAGTGGTCAAGCATCTGAATGTAAATCACATGACCCTGGGGATGCTGCAAGTGTGAAAAATGGCCGTAAGTCGCTTTTTTCAGTGCCTTTGTAACTTCCAGTGGTGGCTAAATGAACTGTTGTAAATCAAAGACTACCTGTATATGACTTGATTTCTATGGACCTATAAATGCATCTCCCCGGGTGAACTCAACGAGGCCAAGTTATTATTATTATTACCTTTATTGTCAGAGTACAACATGTGTGCAATGAGATTGGCTGAGCCTCCTTTCGTGCACACCCCACCCCAATACAACTCACAGTGAGGACAGAAGTCCCCAACCCAGTCCCAATCTTATTACACTAGGTGACCTTGTTGCACAACGCGCCATCCCTGCAAGTCTGTCATACCAGGTTGACATGAAGTTATTTTCCATTCAGGAGCCTGACAGCCCACAGGTAGAAACTGTTCTTCAGCCTGTTGGTGCGGCTGGCTCTGCTTCTCTATCTCCTACCCAATGGCAGGAGAGTGAAGAAGGCCTGACCGGGGTGTGAGTCGTCCCTGAGGATTGTCCTCACTCTTCCAAGGCAGCGAGCCCTAGCGAGATCATCTAGTGGTGTCAGGGAACAGCCCACAATGTTTAGTGCTGTGCTCACCACCTTCTGTAATGTCCTTCTATCTGCGGCTGTCAAGCCAGCATAAATATCTGAGGACGCTTTCTATTGTGGACCAGTAAAAGGAGGTCATCAGTCGTTGTTCCACTTTATTCTTTCGCAAGACCTTGAGGAAATGGAGTCTCTGTTGGGCCTTTCTGGCCACCTGGGTTGTGTTGATTTCCCAGGTAAGATAGTTCACACATTAAGAGTGGTTTCTTGGAGATCCCCAAAACCAGAGGTCTCCAAACTTGGCAACTTCAAGACTTGTGGACTTCAACTCCCAGAATTCCCCAGACAGCATGGCTGGCTGAGGAATTCTGGAAGTTGAAGTCCACAAGTCCTAAAGTTTGCCAAGTTTGGAGACCCTTGCCCAAAAGCATCAAAGCAGAAAACACTAAGCCAGCCTTTTGCCCCCTGACCTACACAAATACACCTTGTGTTAATCCTAAACAGGCTTGGCCTGTTGAGTGAATGAAATCCGTTTGGTTTTAACTCAGCAAGTTAAGCATTAGCAGGACAACAATGACATATCGGCACAGAGTGAACCCAGAATGAACTTTGACCTTGATTGGATGCAGCGTGCAAGATACCGGCCAGCTCAGCATTTCTCAACCTGACCCACCTGAAGATGGGTGGACTTCAACTCCCAGAATGCCCTTGCCAGCATGCATTCTGGGAGTTGAAGTCCACCCATCTTAAACATTGCCAAGGTTGAGAAACAATGAGATAATACAAGCAAAACATTTAAAGAGTAGCAACAACTACATTTATTCATTCATAGCACCGTTCCTGATGGGCTTGTAGGAGGGTAACATTTTCCATCTCCCTTTTTAGAAAAAAAATGTATTTCTGCATTATTTGGGGATCCCAGAAAGGAGTTGAAATCTACACATCTTAAAGCAGGGGTCTTCCAACTTGACAGCTTTAAGTCTTGTGGATGTCAACTCCCAGAATTCCTCCTCCAGTCATGTAAGCTCAGGAATTGTGGGAGTTGAAACCCACAAGTCTTAAACTTAAAGTTTGAAGACCCTTGTCTTAAAGTTTGCAAGGTTGGGTGGCTGAAGAATTCTGGGAATTGAAGTCTACACATCTTAAAGTTTGCAAGGTTGGATAGTTGAGAAATTCTGGGCGGCTGAAGTCCACACATCTTAAAGTGCCCAAGGTTGAAAACCCCTGTGTAATAAAACGTTGCAGCAAGAGTCCTTATCAGACATCAGATCTCCTCTGCAAAGCCCAACTAGTTTTTCCAAGGATCTTGTGCCTGCAGAACTGGATCTAGGTTTTATTTCAGAAGCTTTGGTTTTTTTGGGTACAAGCCTGTTCAACACATAACAACCACAATTGCATTGGAAGGCATGATGAAATGTTGCAACAACCACCCTGCAGATTGAATTGGCTCCCCTCAATTACTCAATCATTATTTGCACCCAGACTAGAAATTCTGGTCATTCGAGCCTCTTGTGAATGCGGCTTAGGGAAGTTTGCCCACTGTGTAAATCTGCAAATTGTAGGCAAGATTGTGCGGTCAGCAATAAGGGCAGGAGGCTCACAGTGTACGTGGCGAGATTACTGTGTGTACAGAGGTGGAAAGATTTGACCCACCCACTACGCAGGGCGAAGCTGGCAGGTTTTGCTGCAATTAATAAATGGACTTTTTTAATTAGAACAAAAGGCAGCATCTACATTTATTGGGGACTGGAAGCCTCTTACGGGCCGTTTGCATGAAAACAACAAAAAATAAATAAATGAGTGATTTATGGTTTTGATGATCAGATAGGATACAGAAAGAAGGGTAAGATAATATCCCTTTAGAGAGAGACAGAGATTAAAATACATTTATACTTATTACGGCTGTGAAGACTATCGGAAGCCACTTCTCTCTATCTTTTTTCTTTCCTGTTTTTCTTCAACTTTTTTTCTTGAATTTCTTGCTTTTTCTGTGATTTCTTTCTCTTTTTTCTTTATTTATATTACTTTGTACAGGTAGCCCTCAACTTACGACTCCAATTGAGCCCAAAATTTCTGCTGTTAAGTGAGCTATTCTATTCTGCATTCTGTTCTATTCTCTATTTTCTACTCTGTTTTCTACTAGCTCGATACCCGTGCTTCGCTACAAAACTATGTGGTCAGACTTAGTTTTTGGGGACGAAAATAAGGGGGGAAAATTCTGCCTCTGCTTACCAGCATCCATCGGTATTCATTTGGCTAGCATCCTGTCAGTGTGTGAGAGAGTTGAGGGCTGTTTGGAAACTGAAACAGTATTTGCTGTGTGAGCAAGAAGGAGACAGCAGGGAGCCTGGGCGTGGCTTAGCTCAACTGTTCTGTACTAAAGCTGCTTGGTGCTGCTGTGAAACTGCAACTCCTCTGTTTGTGTTTTGCACTTGGAACAGATTTCTTTTCAAGTGGGGAGGGGGAGCAGAACTCCTTAGCATCAGAGCGTGTTCATAATAATAATAATAATAATATAGGAAATACTAATGCTCTGGTGGTCATTTCGAAAAATCCTTTCTTAGTGAACACATAGAAGCCAAGAGGAACATACATGGCAAATTTCAAGCTTGTAGGCTTTACGGTTATGGAGATTTTGTGATGATGCGTAAGTGGTATTTCACTTATATATCTATATACGGATTCTATTCTTTTCTTTTCTATTCTATTATATTCTCCACTCCACTGTACATTTCTATTTCTATTCTTCTAACTTCCTGGAGTGAAATTTAAGCATCCTGGGAAATACACGCCAATGATTGGCTCAATTGGAAGTGAACACAAAGCAAACCCAATTGTAATAAATAAAACGTACAAAATCCAGGGGAACATTAGGAAAAAGCTTGACGTTGTGCACTTTCACTAATTGTGCCACCTTTAACTGTCCAGTCACCAAACAGCCGCTTGTTGCTCTGTGTGTGTGGGTGTGTGTGTGTATACAACCCATCTGACACGGAATAACCTGGCTTCTGGAAAAGCTGTTTGTTTTCCTGACCTCATGAGGAACTAGCTTGATCCTGGGTAAAACCAGAAGGCTTTATATATCTTGATTTGAAAGTTAATTCTGGATCGTGCAGCAGCCTTCCTGAGCTAGTGTCTTCCCCAGGGCCCATGTTCCCCAGCTAAAATGACTATGGTAACCGACAATAGCGTCTCAGGCAGGGGTAGTTAAGGAAGGTTGTTTCTAGGACAGGGGTGTCCAAACTTGGCCACCTTAAGACCTGTGGACTTCAATTCCCAGAATTCTTCAGCTAGCCTGGTTAAATCCGCAGGTTTTAAAATCGCCAAGGTTAAACACCTTGTTCTAGAGAGTTCCTTGCAGTCAATAATATATCAGTTTCATGCTGGAGGCTAAATACATACAATGAACGGTTGCAGGAACTGGGCATGGCTAGTCTAGCGAAGAGAAGGACCACGATAATGTTGGAAATGAATCCAAGTTACAAAAACTTGGTTCGGTGAAAACACAAGAGATTTTATTTTGTTAAGCTGTTTGCAAAGCGTGGTAGGATCTCAGCAGACCTCAGCGTGAAGTTTGAGCCAAGAAAACCACACCTTAAGATTTCAATCCATTACATTTTATAATTCTTCTATCCCAACTCTCCCCCGCCCCACCCATGCTCTTCCTACGTTGACCCAATGACTGAGCACATCTAATCCGAAACATCTTATGGAGACCACATCATCTCCTTCGATACCTCCCAATGACCTCCCATCACATCTTATCTTACTTGGCATTAAGGAGTGTCCCTTCAGCACGGCCTCTTTTCCAACAGCCTGAGAACAAAGAAATATCTATTCCTAACACCACACTTGTTACACATTCATGTTACACCCAGCACTTCTTTGTAGAACAACCATCTATGCAAAGTAAAAGTGTGGTAAACTTAAGCTGATGTTTTGAAAAACAAAATCTAACTTCAATTGACTAAAGAAAGTTAGGGCAATGGTTTACCTCTTCTCCTATTGTCCTCCTAATCCTGGAGGAAAATAGGGGTGGCATTACTTGATGCAGGAGGATATAATTGATTGCAGGTACATGTTTAACAATGAGTAAATGGATTAGAAAATGTATTTACAGAAGGATTACATCAAGATAGCAATTGTCTATAGAGCAACTATCTTCTTAATGCTCTGCTATATTATTCTATTCACCTACATTTTATTTTAGACTTTTCTTATTTCTAACAATAACAAATATTGCAATATTTGAGGGGCTGCCACAGAGAGGAAGGGGTCATTCTATTTTCCAAAGCACCTGAAGGCCAGACAAGGAATAATGGATGGAAATGGAACAAGGAGAGATTCAACCTGGAAATAAGGAGAAACTTTCTGACAGGGAGAACAATCAACCAATGGAACAGAAGTTGTGGGAGCTTCATCACGGGGGGCCTTCAAGAAGAGATTGGACTGCCATTTGTCAGAAATGGTGTAGGGTCTCCTGCTTAGGTGGGGGGGGGTTGGACTAGATGATCTACAAGGTACCTTCCAAGGTCACTTGTGTCAGGGGCGCCTGTGGCAGCCAGAAGCGGTCTGCCAGCGAAAAGCAGGCTCCTGAGCACTGTTTTCAGCTGCGACAGCCTCCTGCACCCCTCTGCCAGCAAAAATGAAGCTCGGGTGGGCCGAGTATGCCCCTCCCCCCAGGCCCCATTTTTGGCCGCAACGGCTTCCTGCCGGTGAAAACGGAGCTCCGATTTTGATGGCAGAGAGCTTCAGGACATCGTCACAGCCAAAAACGGGGCCTGGGAGTGCAGTGCACGGCCCTCCCGAGCTCCGTTTCCTCTAGCAGAGACACCGCGGGGCGGTCCTTTGCTGTTTGCATCCTGGGGGTCTTGAGTTTGACACCCCTGGATTAGATAGAATTTGTGGTTATAGAAATGGCCAGTTTTTATTTATTTATTTATTTGTTTGTTTGTTTATGTCAATTGCTTACAAGATAATAGGTATAAGTAAAAACATAGTTATGAATACATGGATACATATAAGAAAAATAAAAAAATAAAAGAAACAATAGGACAGGGACGGTAGGCACGCTGGTGCGCTTATGCACGCCCCCTACAGACCTTTTAGGAAAGGGGTGAGGTCAATAGTAGACAGTCTAAGGTTAAAGTTTTTGGGGTTTGGGGAAGAATCCACAGAATCAGGTAGAGTATTCCAGACATTGACCACTCTGTGGCTGAAGTCGTATTTCCTGCAATCAAGTTTGGTGCGGTTAACGTTAAGTTTGTATCTATTGTTTGCTCTTGTGTTGTTATGGTTGAAGCTGAAGTATTCATTGACAGGTAGGACATTGCAATGTATGATTTTATATACTATACTTAGATCGGACTGAAGGCGGCGTAGTTCTAGATTTTCTAAATCTAGAATTTCGAGTCTGGTGGCAGAAGGTATTCTGCAACGAGTAGAGGAGTGGAGAACTCTTCTTGTGAAATATTTCTGGACTTTCTCAACTGTGTTAATATCAGATACGTAATGTGGGTTCCAGACGGATGAGCTGTATTCGAGTATTGGTCTAGCAAATGTTTTGTATGCTCTAGTTAGTAGTGTAATATTACCAGAGAAAAAAACTATTATTATGAAAAAGTGAAAAAGTTGAGGGTAGTTGTAAATGCCTCTTTTTTTTTTTTTTTTTTTAACATGCATTGTCACCCGAAGCCCCTTTTCCTTAAATGGGTGTCTGCTTTCTCCCTCACTCCTGCTCTTTTAGCCGGTGTATAAAGTGACGCAGAGGCAGCTGAACATCACGGTGAAGAAGGAGGAGAGCCACTGGTGGGAGAGACTGACCAAGCAGGAGAAGCGGCCGCTGTTTCTCGCTCCGGATTTTGACCGATGGCTGGACGAATCGGATGCCGAGATGGAACTGAAGGCCAAGGTGAGGACAGGTGGCTAACATGGCTTTTGGTAAGCACGTCGGGAAGAGAGGACTTCTCCGGTGGACATTAAGCAAAGAATTGTTCAGCCCAGAACCCACCTGTCAGATCTGCCCCAGCCTATCCCATCAAGAGGCCGTAATTCACGTGCTGTAATCAGCATTCTGCAGATAGTCCTCTACTTACCACGGTAATGAAGCCTATCCATTGCATTCGTAAGTCATGACGCTAATAAATGGGGAGTTCTGGGAGTTGAAGTCCACCAATCTTAAAAGTTGGCACCATTCTTAAAAGTCTTCCTTAAGTGTGGTATTTTCTGAGGTGTAAAAAATGCTTTGGACTATGTCTCTTAAACCTTGAAATTGAAAACCGGCGCAACCAGTGGTGGGATGCTGCCGGTTTGGAGCGGTTCACGCGAACCGGTAGTTCCAACGATCAGTTGGCCCTGCCCTTTATTTCTTGCTTTGTAGCTCATCTACAGTGGCTAAGACGCTGAGCTTGTCAATCAGAAAGGTCGGCAGTTCGGCGGTTCGAATCCCTAGCGCTGCGTAACGGAGTGAGCTCCCGTTCCTTGTCCCAGCTTCTGCCAACTTAGCAGTTTGAAAGCAAGTAAAAAATGCAAGTAGAAAAATAGGGACCCCTTTGGTGGGAAGGTAACAGCGTTCTGTGCGCCTTCAGCGTTTAGTCATGCCGGCCACATGACCATGGAGACGTATTTGGACAGCGCTGGCTCTTCGGCTTTGTAACGGAGATGAGCACCTCCCGCTAGAGCCAAAAAACGACCCGCACGTATGTCCGAGGGGAACCTTTACCGTTACCTATTAGCTCATCTCAATTGCGTGGCACAGCTGATTCCCCCTGCCCCTGCTGTCCTACTTACCGTCGCTGATTTGGAAGGTAAGCGGCTGAGCGGCTAAATGCTCCATTTTCAGCGCTGTACGCAAGTCCCTTATACACGTGCAGGAGCGTCCCAGCACTTGGTGCCACTGTCATATATAACATCATGAATTTGCCCCAGGTAGCTCTTCCCTGGCATCCGAAGAACCCAACCCTTAAAAAGTAGCATGACAAAAAGAAACCCGACTCTTTCAAAATCAACCAATCTTGTGCAATAACCAGGTTCTTGTGTAAAGCTGTGGTAAAATGTCATAATTCTGAAACTGCTTGACATGTTAGTCCTCTGTTGAGATCATGCCAGATCACCCAAATCTTGCAAGAATCGTGCCTTCTTTTTTTTTAAAAAAAATTTTTTTTGGCTGACATCCAGGAGAGCTCGTGGGCTCGGAAAACAAAAATCATTGAACTCTTGTTCTCACCTTGTACTTCAATCCTTGGCATTTGGAAAGAAAACCGGCCTCTCAGCAGTTCAGGGCCACATGCCAGCTTTCTGTTTAAATTGAGCAAAAGTTTTTTTTTTCTTCTCTCTCTCTCCAAGGTACCGAAGTACAGATAGTCCTCGACCTATGACCACAATTGAGCCAACAATTGCTGTTGCTAAGTGAAGTGTTTTGTCAGGGCTCCAACAAATCCACCCCCATTCAAATCATAAGTCTCTAGCCGCACCTCTCAGAGTTAAAAAAAAAAATGATTTATTTAGGAATGGCCACGTTGGCATTAGCTGGGTGCAGCCGACACTAAAATATATCATTCATTTCATCCTTGACTCTGGTCTTCCTCCCACCCCCTGGATGTATATTCTCCAATGAGACACATCCATAGCCAACAGTCATCAATCATGCTCTCCAGTAATAATCTTGCGCGCCAACATCTTCAGCTGCCAAGGCGATCATCTGAAGCATTTAAGGAATGCACTGCTTTCCCCCACTGCCCTTCTGCTGGCAACTAAAAAGACCAAAGGAGTATTTTTTTAGTTGACACGTTTAACTGAGTTTCGCCTCATTTTATGACCTTGCCTGCCGCAGTTGTTAAGTCACTCACTGCAGTTGTTAAATTAGTAACACGGTTGCTAAGTGAATCTGGCTTCCCCATGGACTTTTTCAGAAGGTCACAAGAGGTGATCAGATGACCCCGAGAACACTGTCGCTATCATAAATAGGTGTCTGAATTTTGATCACATGACCAAGGAGAGGCTGCAACGGTCATAAATGTGAAAACAGTTATAAGTTCCCTTTTTAATGCTGCCGTAACCTTCAGTGGTCACTAAGCAAACAATTGTAAGTTGAGGGCTTCCTGTATGTCTTCAAGAAGGATTCTTCCATGTGCTTTTAAATCAACTGTCTCCAAGTTCTACAGCTTTATGTACCACACAATAAAAGAGGACCTGACCTGGGGTGCCCCCATCGCAGTCCTGGTCAAAAGGACCCAGCAGAGATTCTACTACCTGAGGCTTCTCAGAAAACAACAACTGAATGAAAAACTGCTGGCGACCTTCTACCGCTGCACCAGAGAGAGTATCTTAACTGACTGCACCTGTGTAGGGTTTGCCAATTGCACAGTGACAGATAGGAAAACACTCCAGAGGGTGAACGTCGTTGCCCAGAGGATCATGGGTTGCTTTCTCCCCTCTTTGGAAGAGATTTAGACCTCCTGCTGCCTTAAGAAAGTTCAAAACGTCCTCAAAGATCCATCTCATCCTGGGCACCCCCTTTTTTTGAACTATTACCACCTGGCAGACGGTACAGGACAATAAAAACAAGGACAAATAGGCTGAAAAACAGCTTCTATCCCAGGGCAGTAGCTCTTTTGAATTCTGCTGTATAGCGCAGTTTTGGTGTGGTGTCGGGGATTTTCGGTTCAATGTGTGGAGGGTGAAGGGTGTGTGTTTGTGTTTATTTTCATGGTCATGATGTACACTGAAGATGGCATTTAATTTCATTGTACGAGGTGCAAAATGACAATAAAGTAAACTAAGCTAAAAAGCACCTTTAGGGGCCACCTAGAAAACGGAGCGTGCCCTGTGCTGGATTTGGTAAGGCAGGCAGATGAAATCATGCGTTACGTTGCATTTTTTCCTGCCGTAAGGCTTTCTGAGTTGTGTGCCCCAATCCATTTGGCGTCCCAAAGAGCAGCCAGTTGTTTACAAATAATGTATCAACCGCAGGACCGGATCCCTTCTGGAGGGGAACGTGCCAGTTTTCACGCTCTCTTTCTCTCTCTCTTTCTAACGTCTAGGAAGAAGAGCGGATAAACAAAATCAGTATAAAGAACCGAATCCCCAAAGACCGTAAGTGGCTCCCCTTCGCAGTTGGCCATCCAAAGAACGCCTGCCCTTCATCCTTTGCTAACTTGGTTCTGTAACCCCTTGCAGCCTTCCGACACTTGAAGAGAGGTTATCTGTTCATGTACAACCTCGTGCAGTTCCTGGGCTTTTCATGGATCTTCGTGAACATGACTGTCCGGCTGTTCATGCTCGGGAAAGGCAAGTGGCACATATTTTGGTTCTCTCCCTGCTCTCCGTGCCCAAGAGACTAGAGTGGATTGAAGGGAGAGGTGCTTTGTATGGCCCGTGGTTAGATCTGCTCCAGGCCACATGTCCAGCCTCCGTAGTTGAGTCCTTCTGGGAAAGTTGTAATTCATTGTTTTTTCCTGAATGCCATCAGTCTGCTAAACAAATAATTCCCTCAACACTGTCCAACTATTTAAAAAGTCTGCACTACTATTACTATTAATCTTCTCGTCACGCCTTATCATCCATCCCCTCCCACTTGTGATTGTAGGACTGTGACTTTGTTGCTTGTATCCTTATGATTTATATTGACTGTTTCCTAGTATGATTTGATTGCTTCTTGTACCCCATGACTATCATTAAGTGTTGTACCTGATGATTCTTGACTCTTGACGAATGTATCTTTTCTTTTTATGTACACTGAGAGCATCTGCACCAAGACAAATTCCTTTTGTGTCCAATCACACTTGGCCAATAAAGAATTCTATTCTATTCTATTCTATTCTATTCTATTCTATTCTATTCTATTCTATTCTATTCTATTCTATTCTATTCTATTCTATTCTATTCAACTCTACTCTACTCTACTCTACTCTACTCTACTCTACTCTACTCTATTGAAAGAGGAGTGGGTTTTAAGCAAAGAATTCTAGGTTTACTCAAAGGTGCTTTTTTCAGGAGGCACCTGGACTTTCTTGTTTTGTCTTTTGAAGATGTTTTGCTTTTCATCCAAGAAGCTTCTTCCGCTCTGACTGGATGGTGGGGAATGGAAGGATTTATATTCCTTGCAGACAGCTGGTCATTTGCATCCTTTTGGAGCCATGATGGCGAACCTATGGCATGTGTGCCGGAAATGGGGAATTGTGTGCGCCTTGCATTATGGGTGCAGGCACACATGCGTGCGTGCACTTTCGGCATGCAATGATGAAAAGGTTGTCACAGTTTTAGAGGGTCGTTGAAGCACTTGGAGGTTTGTCTGTGTCCTCAGGTTCACCTCAGTGGTGCAAATGGTTCCTGTAGTCTGCAATTGTTTTCTCTGGAAATCCATTTCCAATCCCACACCATTCAAAGTGTCCCAAATCGTGTAGCTAAAAGTCTGTAGAGGTTCTCAGTCATGACCTGGATGACTGAGAATCTCAACTCTGGGGCTAATTCCTAGCAGTTCCACTTCTTAATATAATACCTTGGGTGGTGGGCAGGAGTGGGATTCTACAGGTTCACACCTACTCACTAGAACCGGTTGTTAACATTCTAAGCAGTTCGGAGAACCGGTTGTTAGAAGAAATGACTGGCCTAATCCTGTAAGGAAGGCAGGAAGGAAACATTCTGGTGTTGCTTACAGAAACTGCCTCTCCGTTAACACTTATTACATTCTTGGCAGGACTAGACTTCCTGTCTCAGGAACTTCTCTGGAGTTGTTTTCCCCTCCTTTGCTGGTACTTTGCTTGTGTGGAGGGACCGTTCAAAGTTACAATGGCACTGAAAAAAGTGACTTATGACCATTTTTCCCACTTACGACTGTTGCAGCATCCCCACAGTCATTGAGAGGCCAGGCGAGGAGATGCGTGCCTCGATGTGAGTGATATTGAGTTGGCCACGCCCAGCCAATTACAGGTAGTTTTATCTTATGTTCTTGCAGACTCTTTCTCAGATACTTTCCACATGAGTGGGGACATGATGTACTTCTGCCAGATGTTTGCCTTGATGGAGATTGTCAATGCCTTGATAGGCCTCGTCAAAGCTCCTTTAGCTCCTGTCTGTATCCAGGTAATACCTTTGCAAACCATTTTGGAAAGCGTAAAAACTCATTTTTATGGGGCTGGCTAAAGGTTTACTTTGTCAGTGCAAGATATCAACCAAGATGTCGCTTTAGTACTTTCTGTCTTAGAGTAGACATGACCAAGGATTGTATACTACATCATTCTGCTTGTTAGTAATTCTCTTGAGTGCGTTTTGAGCATCTAATGATGTGCAAAGTTTTGTCATGTAGACGGAGAGCTCTTCAAAAGCTTCTTGCCTTTGATGCTTCATTAGAGGAAATAGAGTTTAAAATATCAGACTGGAAACCTGAAAGCTGTGAGTTTTAGTCCTGCCTTAGGCATGAAAGCCAGCTGGGTGACTTTGGGTGAATCACCAAGAGACAGAAGAGTTTTGGTCCTGCCTTAGGCAGGAAAGCTCTTGGGTGACTTTGGGCTGACTGCCAGGAGGTGGTGAGTTCTAGTTGCACCTTAGGGTGGCGAGAGGAATTCCAGAATTCCTGTCAAGCATGGGAAAATCAGGGAGCCCAGGCAGTTCGAATGAATATAAAGGTTTATTGCAAATGTGTGCTCTCTACAAGAATCTGAACTACTAACAAGAATCTAAACTACTATTGGTGGTAGATAAAAGCCAGTGAAATTTAAAGAGGGCTGGACTGAGATCTTATTCTGGGCACAAAGGGACTCGAGACTGATGACACATTTGGCTCCTCCCTCAGGCTCAGCCTTGGTCATTCCCTACGTCTCCTCGGCCAGCATCTATGGAATTCAAACTCTCAGATTTACCCAGCTGGTTCACCCAAACTGGCTGAGAAATCAGCACAGTTCTTGATGGGTTTGTAGGAGGGTAACATTTTGCATCTGATTTTTTTTTTTGGGGGGGGGGGGGGGGGGGGAACATGTATTTCTGCATATTTGGGTGTCCCAGAAAGAACCTGTGTCTTCTGAAATGGCAGGCGTCTCCAACCTAGGCAAGTTTAAGACTTGTGGACTTCCAACTTTCAGAATTCTCAACTAGCCGTGCTCCCACAAATTCTGGGAGTTGAAGTCCACGTATCTTAAAATTGGCAAGGTTGAGAAATATTGGTGTACTGTAGATGATAATTTTTCACCTGGGTACCTCAAGGTAGATACACCTCTGAAGAAGCTTCCCTTGTCCCGTTGCCCACAGAATTCTTGATTGTTCTTGTTTTTCACAGGGAGTTTTCTCCTACCCCTTGGGAAGGAAGGCAGATTACTTACAGTACTTTGCTAAAGTTTGCCCAAATATTTTAGCAACACGCTTAAAAGATGCAGATGGAAGTTTGTTAAAGAGAGATCCAACTTAGAATTAAAAGGGAGATTTCCTGACAGTGCAGAACATTAATCAGTGAAATGGCTTGACTCTAGAAGTTGTGGGTGATCCATCACTGAAGATTTCTAAGATGAGACTGGACAACCACTAGTCTGAAAAGTTGTAGGGTTTCCTGCTTGTGAAGGGGGTTGGACTAGAAAACCTATAGAAAACCACCCCATAAAAAAGATGTTGAAGCTTTAGAAAAAGTGCAGAGAAGAGCAACCAGGATGATGAGAGGACTGGAGGCTCAAACATATGAAGAACGGTTGCAGGAATTGGGTCTGGCTAGTCTAGGGAAGAGAAGGACCAGGGGGGACAGGATAGCAGTCTTCCAATATTTGAGGGGCTGCCACAGAGAGGAGGAGGAAGTCAAGCTATTTTCTAAGGCACCCAAAGGCCAGACAAGGAATAACGGAAACTGAACAAGGAGAGATTCAACCTGGAAAAAAGGAGATGTTTTCTGACAGTGAGAACAATCAAACAATGGAACAGAAGCTGCCCTCAGAAGTTGTGGGAGCTTCATCACTGGAGGCTTTCAAGAAGAGATTGGATTGCCATCTATCAGAAATGGTGTAGGATCTCCTGCTTGAGCAGGGGGTTGGACTAGATGACCTACAAGGTTCCTTTCAACTCTGTTAATCTGTATCTGTACCCGCAAGGTCCTTCTAACCCTGTTATTCTATTCTATATATCCTGAAGCCACTTTTGTCATCCTGCTAGTTTTGTCTATGTTTATATCCTACTGTCTAGTTTTCTGGGACAGAAGCTGAACGAATTAGCAATGTCTTTTCTCCCACCATTCCCACAACAACTTTCCCATCTGCATGATGGGAAAAGGAATCTACCTGCTTTCCCAATCCCTAAAATAGGTGGGAATTCCTAGAGATTGGAATTCAACTGCTGAAGACAGCAGCTTGCAATAAGCTTGGGTGAATCCCACTGAGGTTTGTTTCCTTGTTGGTGGTGTCTATTTGAAGCGTCTGATCTCGGAAGGGATCAACCTTTCTCTCTTTTGGCCCCTTTTTTCCAGATCTTTGGCAGGAATTTTATATTGTTTGTAGTTCTTGGAAACGTGGAGGAAATGCAGAGCAAAGCCGTCGTCTTCTTCATCTTCTACATTTGGAGCACGGTTGAGATAATCAGGTACTTGGGGTGGAAAGGGGGCCGTTCCACCTGAAGTCCTTTGCAGAATTCTTGCCTTTGCCATCTCTTCATTATTGTCCCTACACACACACACACACACACACACACACACACCTTTTCTGTGCAGCTTTAACTGAACCATTTTATTTTCATTTGCAACTCTCTCATTTGCAATTGCTTCACCTCTTACCGGTTGCAAACAGAGGTGGGTAGTGTGGCATTCTTGGTGCTGGGTGGTTTTCTTGCAGACATTTCATTACCCAACTAGGTAACATCATCAGTGCTGGGAAGGAAGGGAGGGAAGGAGAAGGAAGAGGATTGCGGAATCCTTGGTGCCCTCTGAGCTTGATTGTTTTCTTGCAGACATTTCATTACCCAACTAGGTAACATCATCAGTGCTAAAAGGGGGTGGCATTTGCTGGATAGTTGGGTAATGAAAAGTCTTCAAGAAAACAATCCAGCTATGGAAAGCACCAAGGTTCCCCCAACCCTGAGCTACAAATAATCCCTTCTAGAGGTTGGTAGTTTAGTCCCCAATATCTGTAGGAAAACTTCTGCTTTTAAACCTCTGTGATCAGGAGAATAAAACTCTTACTATGCTTTTAGAATTATGCCGTTTTTTTCTTTCCGTTGAACAGGTGATATTGTTTCTATTTCTTCACTAGTGTTATCTTTCCCCTCCCCCTTTTTATTAGTTTATAATATAAAATGCAAAAGAAAATAGTTGGAAAACAGGGGAAGAAGAGGGGAAGAGTGTAAAAGAAAGAGAAAGAGAAGGTGTGGACATCCGTCTCCCTTCAATGTAGTAAAATAAGATAACATCAAACCTCATCTTTTTACTTTTACATAATAGTATAAACTAGTCATTTTTACAAGAACAAACCCATCTATCTAAGTGAGAACCATCAACCAATGGAACAGAAGCTGCCTGCAGAAGTTGTGGGAGCTTTATCACTGGAGGCTTTCAAGAAGAGACTGGACTGCCATCGGTCAAAAATGGTGTAGGGGGTTGGACTAGATGACCTACAAGATCCCTTCCAACTCTGTTACTCTGTAACTTCTGTAATCTGTAAAGCCCAAAATCAAAGTTTCATTTTTTCCATTATAAATACAAAATCCAGAAGCAGTTTCCAAGTAGGAACAAAAATAATTGTGTGTTTTTTTTCTTTAATCAAGTCAGTCAATTTAGCCATCTCTTGATTTGGTCAGGTGAACTTTGTAAATCTTGATTTTTAAGGCCCGTATAAAATATACATGAAGTTTACTAAGGAACATCTACGCTTGCAGTGTGCGCAATGAGATGTAGGGTGTGGGGGTTGCTAATCCACTCCATTGCCTTCTCCTGTAGCCTTGCACCAACCAGGTAAGGGATAATAAGAGATGACCGATGGGTTTGTGGGTTTCCTTCTAGGTATCCCTACTATTTGCTTTCCAGCATCAATATGGAATGGAAAATTCTTACTTGGCTTCGATACAGCATATGGATGCCTCTCTATCCGTTGGGAATGTTGGCAGAAGGTACGTAGCAGAGGTGGCATTCAGCCGGTTCTGACCGGCTTCTGGAGAACCAGTAGTGGAAATTTTGAGTAGTTTGGAGAACCAGCCAATCCCACCTCTGACTGGCCCCGCCAACCCCATCTCTTCTCCGCCTCCCATTGAGTCCCAGCTGATCTGCTGGGTCTCCTTTGGTTGCCCTGCGCAGGAGAACGGAGCTGGAAAGCAGGTTGGTGGGGTGGGGAGGGAATAGAGATTTTGCAGTATCCTTCCCTGCCACGCCCACCAAGCCATGCCACACCCACTAAGCCACGCCCCAGACCCGGTAGTAAAAAAATTTGAATCCCACCACTGGTACATGGGAGAAATATGGATGGATATACTGCCCTGGTGAGACCACACTTGAAATAAACAACTTACAACAGCACCGGGAAAAGTGACTTGTGACGGCTTTTCACACTTAAGACCATTGCAGCATTCCCAGGGCCACGTGATCAATATTCCGACACCTGGAAACTGGCTCATACTAATGACGGTTGTAGTCCCCTGGGGTCACCTGATCCCCTTTTGTGACAAGCGGAGTTCAATGAGGAAGCCCAGATTCACTTCACAAGTGTGTGACTAACTTAATATCTGCAGTGATTTCACTCAGAGGGGAGACCACTCAAAAATCCCAGGGTGGGCAGTTAGCCAAAAACTGGAAGGTTGCATTTGAGTTGGTCTTGTCTTGGGCAGCTTTCTCTGGAGGGTACGTTGACTGGACAGCATCTACTCTGCCTTGTCCAGCCTCCGAAGGCTTAGTTCAGTTTCTACCCTTGTTCTTTGCTCTTCTCCAAAAGGCCTTTTAACCTTTCCTTTCTGCTTTTAGCTGTAGCCGTGATCCAGGCCATTCCTATCTTCACCAGCACCGGAAAATTCAGCTTCACCCTCAATTATCCACTGAACATCACCATCCCATTTTCCGTCGTTCTGCAGCTCCATCTCATCTTCTTATTCCTAGGTGAGTTTTCAGTTGGCAGTTGGTATCATAAAGACACTCAGGAAAAGCTTAGATACTGTTGTGGCCCACCAGACTCGGACAGTGGAGAGGTTGGGGAGAAACTTGGGCCAGTCCTGGAGTCTGCGGAGGGCTCTGATGGATGGTCGGAAGCAGAGATAGAGCAAAAGGGGAATGGTGGTTGCAGGAGACTATTAGTTCATATTTCTTTGGGAAGATTTGCTTATCGTGGTTCGTGCCTCACAGAGACTCCTTTTACCGCTTTGCGACTGGAAGCTCTCGTCCAAGGACTGATGAGGTCTGTTCTTGCAATTAACCCTGGGGAGGATTATTGTCGAGACTTTTTCTGTGTGTGAAGGCCATGAATTCACAGTAACTAAATAAAGGGGGCGTTTTCGGGACAAGGGGCGTTTCTTGGTTCGGCTAAGCCTGAGTCAGAACAGATACCACACACACACATAAGATAATATTGGCAGTTTATCTTGAACTTACAACATTTCATTTAATGACTGTTTGACCGGCACTGAACAAAGGACATCTGACCGTTTTTCACACTTAACGTCCGTTGTAGTAATGGTTGCGAGATCAGAATTGAGACATTTGGAAACTGGCATGTGTTTTATTACCATGGCACTATATCACCTTCTGACAAGCAAAATCCACGGGGAAGCCAGGTTCACTTTTAATGACTGTGTTATTAACTTTTAACGACTGCAGTGATAGATTCATTACGCCCCCCCCCCCCCCCCCCCCCCGCCCCGTGGCATGAAATGGGGCAAAATTCACTTAGCAACAGGAATTCTGGCCTCCGCTGTGGTCGCAAGTCGAGGGCCACCATGTCCATATACAAACACAGAGAGAAAGGGTTGACTTTTCAGTTATGCTGGTATCAGACACCATCTTCAGTGTTTGAGCTTCTTGCTCTCAACCACCAATCCTTTGTCAGTAGGAATTAAAAACAACCCAAGCCACAACTTTGTGCTTCCATGGAAGAGTTGGACTTCTCCAAAATTGCAGGGTATTTTTGGTCCCAGGAAGATATAGAAGGCGTTCTTTAGAGCAAGTCTAAAGAACTTGCTCATGTTATCATGAGTAGAGTCTCGACTGACCAACAAAGGATCTAAAGATCTTTGATAAGAATCATCTGCATCATAAAATCTTTGGATGCAAATCTTGAACTCCACCCTATCACTGTGGCCCTCATTGAAATCTGGTGGGTTGACAGGAGATGAATCCTTGGGCAGAAGTTCTGGCCACTGTTGCCCCTCTTAATGTGCTGGGACAGAAGCCAGGCTGGTCAGGGGTCTCCTAACCCGAGTTTTCCTTGTTTGTTTTCTTTTGGAGGTGAGATCTACACAATTCCTACCCTCTAGGAATCTTTTCCTGACCTCTTGTCGGTCAGGAAGACAACCAAGGTGCCGAGCAACCACCGGCCATACATAGAATTTATACAGATTCTATGAGAGATTTTCTATGGGAGATAGAAAATCAGTTGACAGGCCATGATGCAGCATGGAAGGAGGTTGGCTTGTTCCAGTAGTTGTTGAAGATGTGAACAAGAGAAGTCCCTCTTCTGTAGCAAGTTTTGGGAAAGTCTATTATCCTCATTGACCAGTATTTCTCAACCTTGGGGACTTTAAGGTGGGTGAACTTCAACTCCCAGAATTCTGGGAGTTGAAGTCCACCCACCTTAAAGTCCCCAAGGTTGAGAAACCCCACCAGGATGGTTCTCCATTCAACTGAGGAATTCTGGGAGTTGAAGTCCACCCATCTTAAAGTCCCCAAGGTTGAGAAACCCTGCCAGGATGGTTCTCCATTCAACTGAGGAATTCTGGGGGTTGAAGTCCACCCATCTTAAAGTCCTCAAGGTTGAGAAACCCTGCCAGGATGGTTCCTGGATTCCTATTAGTGTATCTGATCTCAAGAACGGAAAAACTCATCCTTCCTTTTTTTCTTTCTTTCTTTCAGCACCATTTATCCTTTTCCGTCACCTCTACAAGCAACGTCAGCGACGCCTCGGACCTAAAAAGAGGAAAATGCACTAATTGGGAGTCTCTTTGTTTTCTAATCTTCCTCAAAGATGGGTGCAGGCGGTGGGCTTCGGGCTCTTCCAAAACCCTTTTCCTCGCCCTATTAACCCGAAAACCAATTTTGTAGCCGCGATGACACGTCTTCCTTGCCTGACAGCAGAAAATAGATCCGTCCAAGCTAATGTTTTCTCCTCTGCACCTCACTCCCTTCTCGGGTAAGCTAAGCAGGGGATTCATACTAAAAACCTCTTTCCTATGAAATAGACCCGGAGCCTTGAGTGAAAAGAAAGCTGCTTTCCTGGGGAGGGAAAAAGCATTAAAAAACTCCGCCATCCAAGAGATGCAGAAAAGAGTTTTTCCAAACACCAACTTTAGGAGGATCTAAAGAACCTACAAACATAGTTCAGGCTTGTTAAGGATGAGCCCGTGAGAAACTTTCCTGTGGCTTTAAGGGAGCGAGTGGTTCGTTAGGATCCATTTTCCTTTTTTCCTTACCCCAACAGCAAAAATGACCAAATCTGGAGGGGCAAATTCATTGCCTCCTTCTTCCTAGGGGCCCGCTTGTATTGGATTCTTTATCGTCTGTAAAATTCCCGACACACGAGTATTAAAAACCTCAAAATCAAATTTAAAATAAGAGCAGGCCTCTGCAGGAAAAAAAAAACCCAGGGAGCAGAGCCCTTCTTGTGATAAAGAACAGAGCTGGTTCAAATCCTCGTAGGCTTGGAAGTGCTTTTTGACGGTTTCTGGCTTAAGAATACGGACCGTGTCAACTTCCCAACAAGCTGGCGACAGTACTAGATTCCAGGAAAGGGGCCATTCAGACGTTAAGGGAAGAAGAGACGAAGAAGCTGCACTCGGGTGCGGGTCCCTCATGGCAATCTGAAGGCAAGCTTTAGCATGCTCAAGGCTGGGTGGAGTTTTTTTTTCCTTTCTCCAATTGGGGAAAATGCGTTTTGGATCCCCCCAAATCCTGAGCGGCTGTCTTGATGCTGATTTTCCTTCTCGGCAGCGAGAGCATTTGGTGGTGGCATTTTAACATTTTTCACCCCACCTCACCCCTCCTCTCCTGGTACCCGGGAAAAGAGGGCTATTAATGTACTTGGAGTTGGGGAGGTTAGTTTAACGGGTTGATAGTGCAGGCACTTCGTTACGAATCTGTGTTGGCAATTTTTGGACAAGGCAAATCAAAGGCATATTTCTAATAATAAATCCTTCTAAAAACACCCCCTGTTGTCTGCGTCCCTGGCTTTGCAGTAGGTAGCAGTGCAGATGAATATTCAATTATGATGTTGCCCATGTGGGAAAGGTTTCATTCCTTTGCTTGGCTCCAGATGTGCTTGAACATCTGTGCAATTGCTGCATTTGGAGATGTGGCGGATCTAAGACAAGAGGGCCATTCTAGGTTGCTGGAGGCAGTCATTCAGCAGCTTTTCAGCTTACCTAACCAGCAAACCCCAGGACAGATGATGCCCCGTCTATTAAACCAGGATTTCTGACTTGGATCAACCATCTTGGCTGTGTGCACCAAAAGCCATTGAGGGAGGACAATAAAGGCTGTTGAGGAAACAGTGTGTCCAGCCCAGTAATTGTTACAGGATGAACTACCTTGTTCCCCCCAAAATACAACTTACCCCGAAAGTAAGTCCTAACTTGATGTTTACATGTGCCCAATATAAGCCCTACCTCCCCCCCCAAAAAAAGCCTTAAGACCCCACCCACTCCAAATCCCACTCCTGGCTGGCCCCTCCCACGAGTCCCCATGTGGTCCGTTTTGGATGCAGGTAAGTGCATCCTGATTTTAATCTGTCGTGGGCTGGTTGTAGAGATGGGAACACCCTCCCGGGGTTTATGATGGAAAGAAAAGTGGAATACAAATGGAGTTAAGTTTAATAAAAGTCCAATCTGGGTGAGGAAAGCAGTCTCGACATTTCATAGAACAGGGGTGTCAAACACAAGGCCCACGGGCCACATCCGGCCAGCAATGTGGTCAGATCCGGCTCATGGGGCTGTCTTGGAAAATGTAAGAGGCCGGCTCACGTCGCTTTGGTCCAGTCTACCCAATGCAAAGAGGAAACATGCCAACAGTTTGGAGAGTGGTGTCAAGCTGGCCACGCCCACCCAGTTGCCATCCCAGTGACCATCCTAGTTGGCCATGCCCAGTGAGTGGAGTCAAACTGGCCATGCCTTCTCCGTTGGCCATCCTAGTTAGCCAACCCAGTGGTCATCCTAGTTGGCTACCCAGTTGGCCATGCTCAGTGAGTGGAGTCTAACTGGCCACGCCCTCCCAGTTGGCCATCCCCCAGTGACCATCCTAGTTGGCCACCCAGTTCGCCATGCCCAGTGAGTGGAGTGAAGCTGGCCACGCCTTCCCAGTTGGCCATCCTAGTTGGCTACCCAGTTGACCATGCCCAGTGAGTGGAGTCTAACTGGCCACGCCCTCCCAGTTGGCCATCCCAGTGACCATCCTAGTTGGCCACCCAGTTGGCCATGCCCAGTGAGTGGAGTGAAGTTGGCCACGCCTTCCCAGTTGGCCATCCTAGTTGGCTACCCAGTTGGCCATGCCCAGTGAGTAGAGTCTAACTGGCCATGCCCTCCCAGTTGGCCATCCCAGTGACCATCCTAGTTGTCCACTCAGTTGGCCATGCCCAGTGAGTGGAGTCAAGCTGGCCACGCCCTCCCAGTTGGCCACACCCACCCAGTTGCCACACACACACACACACACACCCAAGGTCGACCACAACCCTGATGTAATGCAATTGAGTCTGACACCCTTGTTAGAGAAGGTGAATCCTCCACAGAGTCTCTGCCTCGGAGCTGCTCACATTCGCTCCGTCCCACTGCTAGAGAAGTCCGTTTGCAACGGTGTGATGTTGTGGTCGTAAGTAGCATACTCGGAAGACCCGGAGCTCGCCATTTTGAGCTGCTGGGCTGCGTGGGTGAGCTGGAAGGCCGCGTCAGGGTGCGCCGTGTCAGGCAGCAGGGTGCACTCTCTCTCCAGGATAGCCGCCACTCCTTTCAGCAGGTCCAAAAACCCGAAGGCCAAGGCGGCCTTGCGCAGCCTGTTGAGTTCCTGGAAAAGCCAAAAAAAGTTGCAGGAAAATCATCCATCGGCTCTCCGGCATCATCGCTCTGGCTCAGAAGGAAAGATTCTGGGCTACAGCCCCTCACACCCTCCCATAAATGATTGGACTCTGGGAAAAAAAGGAAGCGGGAAATCTGAATAAGACATATTTTATTCTCTTTGGATTGTGGTTTCATTGGGTATGTTTATATGTGATGGTTCTCAATGTTGTAAGCCACGCAGAGTTGCTTTGAAACGAGATGGGTGGCAAATAATTATTATTACCTTTATTGCCAGAGTACAACATGTGTACAATGAGATTGGCTGAGCCTCCCTTCGTGCACGCACACACACACACACACACACCCAGCATGGCAACCTGTGTTTCCCAGTTTCCATCCACTGGAACTTGAAAATGTGAGACGGCTGACTAATAGCTGAACATCGATTGGCCTTCTGTCCCCAATGCTCACCTTATAGAAGGTCAGTGTTTTCTCGGGGAGTTTTCTTGCGTTCCTGAGTATCTTCTGTACGTCAGTCTGTGGGAGAGGGAAGAAGACACAAAAAACAGTGGCCAAAGCGGAGCTGCCAACCGAAGCGAAAGACATTATTCTTTCCTCGCTTTGCTACGTTGGGAGACGCAAAAGATGCATTCTGGTTTAAGGGCCTCTCTGCTTTCAACATCTAAGCCCAACTGTTCAGAAGAAGCAACAGGACTTGCCTTTGTCCAAAGCCTCCATCCTGCACGCCCACAGGAAGCAAACAGACCGATGATCCTGGACAAATGGGAATGAAAAACCCTGCAGCCCCACAGGCCGAGGATTATCATGGGCTACTAGTGAACGCGAGTTATTTGGAAATTAGCGACGGATAAATTCGTGCAACCGAGGACTAAAAAGGAAGCCACACACATAGACCAAATGGGTTCTACTTTAATAAAAGGCAAGTTATTTGAAGCAAACGACAGGCAGTCCCCTCAATTTACAACCACAATGGAGCCCCAGGTGCGTGCAGCTTCATTTGTGCGACAGGCACGCACACCCAGCCGGCGCATGCATGCACCCGCACATGACTTGCACAAGGGGGGGGGGGAATTTGCGCACGCACACATTCATCAACCACTTTGGGCGGCCCGGTAGTGGCTTATGGCCCAGGGGGTTGGCTGACCCATTGATAGGGCTGGCCTTGCTGGATGCTGGAAGAGAGCGCCCGGTTTGATCCAGCTCCCCAGATACGACAAACCCTCTGTAATCGATCAACAATTCCTTTATTAGGAGCGCCAGTCTCTCTCGCATCACAGGCTAACAAGTCTGTCCAGCAGGGAGATGAATGCTTCGCTAGCAGTAGTGGCTCTTCCGTCCCAAGGACCGGCCCATAGATTTCCACTGCTCTCCTCTCCTCTGCGCCTCCACACATCAGGCACTGGGCACAGCTGCGCCTCCTCTTCCTCATCAGCCACCTCCAGACCTGGGGGCTGTTGACTTTCCACCTGAGGGCTGATAGACAGCCCAGGCTCCACCCACCTCTCTCTCTCTCTGCCAGCTCCAACCCCTCTCTTTCTCCTCCTTCTCTTTCCTCTTTCTCCTCCTTCCTTTTCCCTCTCCCTCCGCCCCTCTCCTCTATTCCCTCTCCCCTCTCTGAGCTCTCAGGTTGCCCTGACTCCCACGCGGTCTCCTCCTCCTCCTCTGATTCGTCCGCTGGAGAGGCTGGCAGCCGACAGGCCACAACCGTCCCCTCGAATTGCGCAATGCTTCTCACACCCAGAAGGCAAGGGCAGGTGAGGCCCCCCCTCCCGGGAGAGATTGCCGTTCCGATTCATCTTTTAAGAAAGGGAGCTTCCTCGGCCCGGGGGGGGGGGAGGGGGCAGAGTTGGATCCCGCCTGACTTACCTGCAGGCCGTTCGGTTTAATCCACACGGTGACGTTCTGAGCGTAGCTTCGTTTGTTCTTGGGCTGCAAAGGGAAGGGGCTTTTGTTGTCATCTTCCCCGTATGGGTTCTCCTTCGCATCTGAAAAATAAAAAGTGTGTGGATAGTCCTCACTGAACGACCACAGGTGGGACCGGCGATTCAGCTGTTAAGCAAAGCAGCTGTGAAATGGACATCACGATTGTGCTTATGATTTGACTACAGCTTTACAGAGTTTTGAAGGCTGGGGAATTCTGGGAGTTGAAGTCCACAAGTCTTACAAGTTACCACTGATGGGAGACCCTGGGTTAGACTACAGACCAGGATGAGGTTTTGCTGTTACTTGTCTCAGGAATTCTGAAATCTTTTGAGCATTGAGCCAGGGTGGCGCAGGGGTTCGAATGCAGTACTGCAGGCTACACCTGATGACTGCCGGCTGCCAGCAGTTCAATTCTGAGCGGCTCAAGGTTGGCTCAGCCTTCCATCCTTCTGAGGTCCGTAAAATGAGGACCTTGGGGACAAGAGGCTGACTCTGTAAACTGCTTAGAGAGGCCTGTAAGGCTCTGTGACGTGGTATATAAGTCAAAGTGCTGTGTTATTCTATCCTACGGGTGTTAAACTTGCTGTATCACGTTGCCATCCCATGATATATTGTGATGTTTTTTTCCCCCTTCACGGAGCTGGGGTGGGCGTGGCCTGCATGTGACACATCTGGCCCGCGGGCTGCCAGTTTAACACCCCTATTCTATTCCTTCCTCTTCTCTTGCTATGGTGGCTCAGTGGTTAGAATGCAGCCATTACAGGCTAACTTTGCCCACTGCCAGCAGTTCGATCCTGACCAGCTGAAGGTTAACTCAGCCTTCCCTCCTTCTGAGGTGGGTAAAAGGAGGACCCAGATTGTTACAGGCAATATATAGCAGACTCTATAATCTGCTTAGGGAAGGCTGTAAAGCACTGCGAAGTGGTATATAAGTCTGGGTGCTTTTGCTACTAACCTTCATTTCCCAAAAACTTCAAGAAGCACAGCAACAATTCCTGAAAAGGGGACCCTGAAACGGATTCAGAAGGATGGTGACACCAACACAAACCACGGAGCCTACGAGAGGCATTTCACTGCTCACATAATAAGTCATGAGGATAAAACACCCAAGAGCAGAACCTTCTAAGGCACATCAAGGCATCTGTATCAAAATGGAAGTTAGAAGCAGGGAGGGAATGAGCGGCACCATTTAAAACCAGCGTGGCCAGTACCTGAGATGGGACCAAGCTGGGCCATCTTGCCCAGCCAAGGAAGTGGCTCTGGTCCTGGCTCAAAGAGAGACATCATTAAGTTGGACTTCTTCTTGCTGTCGGCTTGAGAATAGAGCATTCCATACCATTCAGGTCTGGAAGGGAGAACCAGAGATTCACAATGAAAATAGCTGTCGCTACTTAGGAAAAAAAAAAGGGGGGGACATACAGGACTTATGACCACAACTGAGTGCAAAATTTCCTGCTGCTAAGTTCTTAAGGGAGCTTGGCCCCATTTTACATGTTTCTCCACAAATAAGATGATACAACAGTGGTGGGACTTATTTCCGGGGGGGGGGGGGGGGGGGGGGGATGAGTCTGCCTTCCGAGATGACGTGGGCCAACGATTGCTTTCGTGGTGTGGAGACAATAACTTGGTCCTCAATACCAATAAGGAGCCTATCGTGGACTATAGAGAAGGAACACATCAGACCTCCAGCCCTTGCTTATCAAGGAGGCCGAGGGGAGCAAGTGGCCAGTTTTTAAGTTTCTGGCTGTTATCATCAAAGAGGACCTGACCTGGGGTGCTCCCACTGCAGCCCTGGTCAAAAGGGCCCAGCAGAGATTCTACTACCAGAGGCTTCTCAGAAAACAACAACTGAATGAGAAACTGCTGGTGACCTTCTACCGCTGCACCAGAGAGAGTATCTTAACTGACTGCACCTCTGTATGGTTTGCCAATTGCACAGAGGCAGATAGGACAGCACTCCAGAGGGTGAACATCGTTGCCCAGAGGATCATGGGTTGCCCTCTCCCCTCTTTGGAAGAGCTTTATAGCTCCTGCTGCCTTAAGAAAGTTCAAAACATCTTCAAAACATCCCCATGTCATCCTGGGCCTCCCCTTTTTTTGAACTATTACCACCTGGCAGACGGTACAGGACAATAAAAACAAGGACAAATAGGCTGAAAAACAGCTTCTATCCCAAGGCACTAACTCTTTTGAATTCTACTGTATAGTGCAATTTGAACGCAGTATCAGGGGTTTTCAATTCAATGTGTAGAATACGAAGGATGTGTGTTTGTGTTTCATTTTTATACTTACAATGTACATTGAGGATGGCATTTAGGTGTAATGACAATAAAGTAACCTCAACTAAACCTAAAAAGACCTAACCGGAAAATAAGACCCTGTTGTTGTTTTTCAGGATGCTCGTAATAGAAACCCTACCCCCCCAAAATAAATCCGTTAAGATCGTTTAGACAGACGGATGCATTTAGGACCATATTTCTCCCAAAATAAGACCTAACTGGAAAATAAGGTTTAACGCGTCTTTTAGAGCAAAAATTAATATAAGACCCAGTCTTATTTTTGGGAGAAACACAGTTCATACGCACATATGTATTTTCTTCTGAGCCACAACTGCCTTTCTGGTGGCTGCATCCATGTTGCCGCCACCCACCCAGAGGCCAACCTCCGTACCCCAACTGAACAACAGCCACCATTCCTTCCACTTTCAGGCTCCCATGAAGGAGCACGCAGAAGTTGGGGATCTTTCCTGCAATTTGATTGGCTGAATTCTCATCTTCAACATCCTCGACGATGCCCGGGCCCATTTCATCTCCTTCTGGGCAGGAAGAGAAGAGAAAGCCATCAGAACCTGCTCCGTCCTGCGGGGCCTGCCAACTGGAGAACTGCCAGCCTGGGGAAGGTAGGGTCACTCACCTTTGTTAAGCGCGATAGGCAACACCAGGTGTCTGGACAGGACCGGCGGGCTGGCGATATCTGCTATGTCAATAAAGCCAACGATCTCCAGATCTACAAAAGAAAAGGTGCTTTCAGGGTCTGAGAACTGGGCCTGGCTAATCTAGTGAAGAGAAAGACCAGGGGAGACACGACATCAGTCTTCCAATACTTGAGGGGCTGCCACAGAGAAGAGGAGGGGGTCAAGCTGTTTTCCAAAGCACCCGAAGGCCAGACAAGGAATAACGGATGAAAACTGAACAAGGAGGGATTCAGCCTGGAAATAAGGAGGAATTTTCTAACAGGGAGAACAATCAACCAATGGAACAGAAGTTGCCTTCGGAAGTTGTGGGAGCTTCATCACTGGAAGCTTTCAAGAAGAGACTTGGACTGCCATCTGTCAAAAATGATATAGGATTTCCTGCTTGGGTGGGGGGAGAGTTAGCTCAACTCAAGGACTAGATGACTTACAAGGTCCCTTCCAACTCTGTTATTTTGTTAAAACTTCGTTTTCATTTCACACAGGTGAAATATCTAAGGAGATCCTGTATCATCCAGTTCATGGTTGTCCCAAACGTGCTTTTTCCAAAAGCCAACTGGACTTCCTTGGTTTTTTATTTGAAAGTTTCTACTCTTATCCAAGAAGCTTCCTCAGTTTATGAAGCTTACTCATTTCTCTCTGTGACACAAATTTGCTGAAAACCAGAAGTTCCAATATTTGAGGTGCTGCCACAGAGAAGAGGAGGGGGTCAAGCTATTCTCCAAAGCCCCCGGAGACCACACAATGAAAACAGTGGATGGAAACTGAAGGAGGGAAACAAGGAGACATTTTCTGACAGGGAGAGCAATCAACTAATGGAACAGAAGTTGCCTTCAGAAGTTGTGGAGGCTTTCAAGAAGAGACTGGACTGCCATTGGTTAGAAATGGTGTAGGGTCTCCTGCTTGGGCCGGGGGCGGGGATTGGACTAGATACCCTAAAAGGTCCCTTCCAACTCTGTTGTTTTGTTAAGACTTCATTTTCGTCTACCAAGCTTCTCAATCATCCAGGTGATGGTTTCCTCAAGGGTGTTTTTCCAAAAGGCAATTGGACTACACGTGCTCCTCGGAGTACGACCACAACTGAGTCCAGATTTCTGTTGTTAAGTGAGACATTTGTTAAGTGAATTTTGCCTCCTTTTACCACCTTTCTTTACTCAGTTGTTAAGTGAATCACTGCAGTTATTAAACTAGTAACACGGTTGTTAAGTGGTTTCCCCATTGACCAAGATGAGAGAGCAACTTGTTGACCTAGAAGTTGGATGAGAGAGCTACTGGTTCTGAGGCAACACTGGGTGATCCAATGGACAACCTGAGAGAAAGCAAGGTCCAAGCCTTTGGTATTTGGTCAAGGAAACAGCAGGGATATATATCCCTGAGTCCTGGGCACTAGAGTTAGCTCAACTCAAGGAAGCTTCGCCTTCTTCCAGGAGTGGAGCATCAGAAACAGCCTCAGAAACAGGAATTTTATGGATTTTTGCTTTATGTAACAGGTCCCATAAGGACGCGGTGGCTCAGTGGTTAAGACGCTGAGCTTGTCGATCAGAAAGGTCGGCAGTTCGGCAGTTTGAATCCCCAGCGCCGCGTAATAGAGTGAGCTCCCGTTACTTGCTTCTGCCAACCTAGCAGTTCGAAAGCACGTAAAAAATGCAAGTAGAAAAATAGGGACCCCTTTGGTGGGAAGGTGACAGTGTTCCGTGCGCCTTTGGCGTTTAGTCATGCCGGCCACATGACCATGGAGACGTCTTCGGACAGCGCTGGCTCTTTGTAACGGAGATGAGCACCACCCCCTAGAAACAGAAAATCACTAGCACATATGTGCGAGAGGAACCTTTACCTAACAGGTCCCATTTTACCCACTTATTTTATTGGGTGTGATGGTTATTAGATGTTGTGGGCTTTAAAGCACCAGAAGAAAGTAAATCAGAAGAGAGCAAAGAGGCCAAAGTTTACCTGTGTTAATTGTTTTAGGGATGGGATCGATTTCTTCATCTATAACGAATGGCTCCGGCCTGGGAAAAGCTTGCACATCTGAAGACAAGTGGCCGCATTTCAACACAGCGTGGAAGGGTGTGTACGCCACATCTATTAGCTTTCTAGGGCAAGAAATGATCATCAGTCAAAATCCACAGAAACAAATCACTATGTGAGGAGTTATTTTTCAGGGTGGGGGGGTGGATTGGGGGGAATGCAGATCTACTGGGTCTTTCTGTGCAAGGGCTCAAGCCACGCTGAGCAAGCGCTAGAATGTCCACATCACGCATTAAACCAGTGTGCAACCTAGATCTTGAATGTGAAATGGGCCCTAAATTCCTCTGAGCCTGTTGCCCCCCTTGCCTTACTCAGAAACACATTCATTCCCAAAATTTGAGCTTTACAAATTCTTCAACTCTTGGTTTGAGAAGAAGCCTTGTAGAGAAATGTATATAATCTGGTTGCACGAACAACACGGAGTTGTTGTTGTTTTTTTTGCAACATTAGCACATAATTTTATGTGAAAAACCAAGCTTAGTATTATATACAGAATAGGCCATAGCATTGAGTTGCTATCAGCTAGTAATTCAATGCTTTCTTGGCTCAATGGCTTGTATAAGCAAAACAGCCTAATTTCCTTTATTTTCATGCATTGCTAAACCTCTTGAGAGAATTAGATGCAGCATCCAAATCCTATTTATAAGCAGGTGGCTAAACTGGTCCTTCACGATATTCGGCTGAGTCACATAGATCTGCTTTTGCCAATCTGACATCTTCCAGGTGTGTCTAGGGTTAAAGAAGTTGAAGCTGCATGCATCACCATAGCTGTCCCCTTTGGTGACTTTAAGACGTGTGGACTTCAACTCCCAGAATCCCCCAGTCAGCTGTGCTGGAATTCTGGGAGTTGAAGCCCACACGTCTTAAAGTGGTCCAGGTTGAGAAAGCCCTGATCTAGAAGGCACCAGATTGAAGGAACGTGACGAAACCCCACTGTCAGGATTCCAGCGATCACCCTAATTAAATCATGAGCCTCGAGACAAACTTCAAAAAACTTCAAAGAATTTATCAGGAGCGACATATACTGGCAATGACCTATATGAAGCCAACTCTGGCACAGGGTTGACCCTGTTTCCCCCCCTCCACCCTGGGTGTCTCATAAATCAAGATTCTCCAATGAAGCACTTTTATAGGCTAGTTGTCATCAATTACGTTCTCCAATTGAATATTTTCCTGGGCAAAAGCTCCGATAAGCTTAGTTGCAATCTTTTTAAGGTAAGTGTTGGAATGTACTTCCAGTTTCAAAACTGCTGCACTGCTCTTCCAGATTTCCTTCCCTCCCCCCCACCTTTGTTTATGGCAACTCTAAAGCAGGCATAGGGATGCTTTATGAGTTGACGCCCAGACTATAACCAGAGGCAGTTTCACCCCATGATTCTTAACCAAGATTGCTTACCCAAACATTGACTGTACGTTTTTCAAGCAAAGGGGCCCATCGATGGTAAAAATCTGTCCTTCTCCATTATTTAAGTCAATGAGCCGTTCAAGGCAGTCTAGAGAATCGGAGCTTTGGAGCTTCAAATGGAAAGGAAACACAAAGTTTTACTGACAATGGAAAAAGCATATCAAAACACCTTTTTTAAAAAAAAGAAATCTCAGGAGGGAACTTCCAATCATCAACAACAAAAACATAGCTATTTATTTGTCCGCTCTGCTTTGTTTGTATCTAAGTAGAGGTTGCATTAGCTTCTGCTGATTTCACTGGAAGGACAAACAGACCAAAAGTTGCCCAAAATAATTAATGGACACAGGCTTGAGGAGAGAACAAGGGCAAAAAAAATAGCAGAGAAATAATCTTTCAACCTCCTGGGACATTACAGATCATAAACTAGCCACTTTGGAAAAAAGAAACTTAAAAGAGTGTTAAATTTGTGTTTTAAAAAGTGTTACAATCGAGCAAGGGATTGCTGAACTCACAGACATCAAATTCAGGCTTATTACAATTCTTAATTGATAAATTGTTTGTGTTGAAAGTTAGCACCCTAACCCCACCCTAGAAGAATGAAATATTCTAGGAAATATTAAAAAAGAAGAATATTATATTTCCCTAAAGGGAGAAATATACTCTGGGAGACAGAAAGCAGCCCCCAGCTTTCTTGATAGCCCTCAGCAGATGTCAGCACTTAGGAGATAAAGAGATAGCTCTATTCATAAGCAAATACCCTCACCCAAGATCCAACAAAGATAGGATTAGCCCTCAGCCACACTAGGAATTGCCCAATTTCACTCTATCACCCTCAGAAACTTCAACCAAACCTGGGAGCTCAGACAACCTACGGAGCCAGCTATGACCCCTAGGTAACTCCCATGGGAGTCTGACAACAGCCAATAGAATACATGTTCTTGCACAGGAACAGGAAGCTCAAGTGCAACGCCCAAGAGAAGATATAAAAACCCTCCACTCTCAACTCCATGTGCTCAGCTCCACCAGAACCACAAACATCTATCTGGTCCTGTTCATCAATAAATAGACCCTCTTTCTAATCAACCTCTAGCCTGCATTTTGTCTCCAGTGTCTTTCTCCCGGCTTGGAACCGAACCAGATACTCTGCCTCTCAATAAAGCTGGTTCCCCTCCAAATCCCCATTCAGGCCAATGCAAATCGAGGACTCACCTAATTGTATCCCCCCCCCTCCTGGCCCTCAAAAGGGGACTCACCTCTTCGAGGTTCGCCATGCACATGACGTAAAGCTTGGATGGAAAGGGAAAAGGCAGTGGAAACCGGTTGCTTTCGCTCCGCTGGCTGAGCGTGGACAGAGAGTGGCGGAGGGAGCCCTTCCCAATGCCCAAGCTGCCATCGGTGACCAGGACAACCTGGCAAGGAATGGCTGCGCCCCACTCCTGCTGCACGATGCTGCAAACCCCCAGCAGCGCTGACTCCAAACACGTTTTGTCGTAATCGTCTATATTACTCAGGGCTTCCTGGGAAACAAAGCGGACACTTATGGTGAGGACCCGGCGCGTGACACAAACGTAACAAACTCCAAAAACGTAAATAAATATCCTTTAATGCCTCCAACGTGGCCCCACTGCTCAATAATTCTCAGTTGGAGATAAAACGTACTCAAAAATAGTCTTCAGAAGAAAGCAATACAGTCCGAACTTAATGAGCAGATAGAGGTGAAATAAAAAACCAAACAAACTACAATGAAGAAATTTCCACAACGGACCAGGATAAGTAAATTACCAACTTCAAGGAGATAACAAGGCACAGTCTGTTGGAAGGACGCCAACCAACATAACTTCAGCCCAAAATAAAACACACTTTGCTTCTGGCAACTCTGTGTTGTAACCGTCTCTTATATACTAATCTCCCCAGCTGCAACCAATGAGGGGGATCATGGCCACCTCCTCTCTCGTAAGCCAAGCTGTTTCCTTCTCTGTTCCTCACTGCGTGTCCTAGGATGCAGAGGGAATGGGCCTCTGACTGCCCAGCTGGCCTCTGGCCTTCCCCAGCCTCCTCCACAACCTCTGGAGCCAAACCTCCACTCCCCGTGGGCTGTTCCTCCTCTCCCTCAGAGTCCGACTCTAACAAGGGCATGATCCTTATTGGACTGGGCTAGAACAAAGCTCCCCAAACTCACAGGGTTAATTTAGGCTGATTTATTTATTTATTTTTAGAAAAACACTCATCAGCTCTAGGTCAGAACGCACGACAATTTATTTATTTATTTATTTATCATCTTTACAGGTAGCCTTCAACTTACGGCCACAACTGAGCTCAAAATTACTATTGGTGGTTGAAACTGTGGTTTACGTGAGTTTTGCCTTTCTGGCCACCGTTGTTAAGGGAATCACTACAGTTCTAAGCAACGTGGGTGTTGAGTGAAAATCGGCCTTCCCCACTGTCTTTCTTGTCAGGTCGTAAAAGGTGATCACACGATCACAGATTGTAAGTCACTTTTCATAATAATATAAACAAGCCATTTCTACAAAGATCTATCAGTCCAAAACCCAAAGTTAGAAACTCTGGCTTTGGGTTTTAGATAAACCTTTATAGGAATGACTTGTTGATATTATTATGAAAAAGCAAAAAGCTGTGATTTGATGTTAATCCCTTATTTTAGAGAGAGTCGGAAGTCAATGCTTCTTTTTCTCCTTTCTTATCTTTTCTCATTTTTCTTTCCTCTTCCTCCCCCCAACTGCTTTTCTATTTACTTTGTATTTTACAATACTTTATAACTCAATTAAAATGTTAATAGAGAAACATTGTTTAAGTCATTTTTTTCCAGTGCCGTTTTAGCTTCAATCAGTCACTAAATGAATTGGTTGTAAGTCAAGGACTACCTGTAGTGAGGTGCCCTATGCGGGACACAATAAAATATTAAAAGCATAAAAAACAATATGTAAGGTTTAAAAGAGGCATGGTATGTTAAGAATTGATTAAAAGGCTGATGTTAGTGCCCTAATTTTTCAGGGCACCAATAAATCCTACGGCTGCATTCCCATCAGCAAGTCCCAGAAATATATTTTTACACTTTTATGGAAGATCAGGAGACTGGGGCCCACCTCACCTTTGAGGAAAAGATTGTTACACAAGGTGGGGGCAACTACGGAGAATGCTCCCTTCCTGGAACCCACCCGTCAAAAATTTTTTTTGCTAATGGGCTTTGCAACATACCTCCCCTGCCTGACCAGGTGGGATGGACTGATGCAACATGATGGAGGCAGTTCCTATACTTTATAATATTTAGAAAGCAAATTGACATAGTTACCCATCCAGCAGAGAGACAAAATACATTGTCTAAATCAGAGGGTCTTCAAACTTGACAGCTTTAAGACTTGTGGATTTCAACTCCCAGGATTCCTCCTCCAGTCATGTTAGCTCAGGAATTCTGGGAGTTGAAGTCCACAAGTCTTAAACTTGCCAAATTTGAAGACCCTTGGTCTAAATTTACAATCTATCAATATACAGCAGGTGATCCTTGAATACAAGCTGAGATTGCTGCTTTTATACTGCACCTGGAGAGTATTGTAGTCTCTTGTGAAGGGAACCATCAGCTCCCAGAGAGATGAAAACACAATCAAGGCGGTAAACTCCAATTTGTAGTTGGTCGCCATGTGCTCAAAAAGCATCGTCAGACCATGGGCCGCTAAATGCTTCCGCTGATATTCTTCAGAGCCTTCAATGGAGACTGGCCGGGTCATGGAGAGGGACACGTCCATGACCACAACAGTTGGCATGGTGGCCCGTTCGTTGAGCCGTCAAATGCAAAAGGGAAAAAATCTCTGCAGAGGAAATAAAATAAGATTTTCAGCATTCTCTCCCTTTCAAATTACATGAAGGTGTTCACTGACCCCTGGTAAATCAACTCGATCAATCTTAAGAAAGCCACTGTTGAGTTTGTTTGATATATACAAGCTGGATTTATCTCTGCTTTCTTTTCCTACGCTCCTTCCTTTCATTCTTTCTTCCTTCCTTCCTCTTTCCCCTTCTTTCCTCCCCTCCTTCATCTTTTTTTCCTTCCTCCCTTCTCTCCCTTCATCTTTTTTCTTTCCTTCCTTCCTCTTTTCCCTTTCTTCTCTCCCTCCTTCATCTTTTTCTTCTTTCCTTTTCCCCCTTCCTCCCTCTTTCATCATTTTTCTCCCTTCCTTCCTTCCTCTTCCCCCTTCCTCTCCTCCCTCCCCTCTCATCTTTTTCTTTCCTTTCTTTCCCTTCCCTTCTCTCCCTCCTTCCTCTTTCCTTTTTTTCCTTCCTTCCTTCCTTCCCATCCTCCCTTCTCTCCTCCCTCCCCTCCTT